CTGTTCTGTGATTCTGTGGTTCTGTAACAAAATAAGTTACCAAAATTAAAAAAAAATTAAAAAAAAATCCAATGTCTAATGGCAATAGTAGTACGAGTTCCATTCCAGAGGGAAAAATTGAGGTTAAAGTGGCTTATTCAAGGGCTAAAGAAGAGCTCATTAGCAAACCTAAAACAAACTTGTGAATACCTAATTCCAGATTCTATGCTCATGTCACTGATATTTCTTAACAGTGATAATATGCAAAATTTGTATGTGTAATTATCAACAGGTTTTATATTTTTACAATCTGCTGGTTTATGGCAATCTGTGCACTGAAATTACTTTCTCTCTTAAGCCTTGTTTTTCAAAACCAGCCTTTTCCATTCACCGCAATATAATTTGAGTAAGACCTTTACTACTTTTAGAGTGATTTTATTATTATTGAAACAATACAAAGGAGCAAGAAATAATTACTGTGAGGGGTGGTATTTTGGGCTATTGGCCCAAAGATGAGCTGGAGTTTTACTGCCAAGCTGAGTACAAAAAAAGAATATATGCACCAAAACATTGAATGCAATCCCAAATGCTCAAAGTATTTTTCAGTGCCCATTGTGGTGTTCATTAAAAAACACACCATTTTGTTTAGGAGGCATAAAAAACAGTGTGGTGAACTAGCTGTGTGCCAGAGCAATAGCTATCGAAAATAAACCTCTAAAGGTACTACCTGAGAACCCAGCTTCTTGTCAGTAAAATGTAAGCTCTTAAAAATAAGCATATTCAAAGAATGCCGTATCTTAAAATATTTATTTTCCTTTTGTCTCCAGTCATCGCTAGTGATACAAAAATACTAGTAATCATGGAAAATACTGGTTTATTGCATCCTTTTTGTTTGAGGGAAATATGGCTTCTTTACCTAGTTTACTACAAGGTACTATAACTACTTTTCCTTGCTGCACTATTAGTTGGTATTTTCATTGTCTGCTGAAGAAGGGACCTCTTACTGACAGCTACTGTTAGCAAGAAATCATTTTCTAAGAGTAGATAACAGCAGCAAGCCGTCAAATCAGATGGAAACAGCTTCTAGTATTTACTTGTACCCAAGTGCAGAGAACTAGAGCAAACAATATCTACAATGACAAGCATGGATTTTTTTTTTATTTTTTTTTTTTAATCAGAGGAGCAAGTTTTGGGTGAGAACAAATTTGGGTGCTGTTTTAACAATAACAAATTTATGTAAATGGAACAAAACTAACTCACATTATTTTTTCCCCCTCTACATTAACACTTAAAACAGTTTGTATAGCAAATAGATTTGCTTGCTGCACTAGTAATGGTAAATTAAAGAGGAAATTAATACTTCAAACCATTCGACATGGATAACAAAATTAAATTTGGTGTTTTAAAAATACTGAAAACACAGAGTATATTTTTTTGCTGTTTAGATGAAAAGGCAAGTATTATGCTACATAGATGAGATTAAAGAAGCTAAATTCTAATTTCAGCTTTAAGAATTCCTTCAATTATATTTAGCAGATAGTATAAGCAAACTAAATAGTAAACTAACTACATAAAATGACATTAAAATGATAAATGAAACAAAAATGCAATTGCTACTTTTTTACGACTGCTCAGATGAGCATACAGCTACTCCATACATTGTTGTTCAACTAAGATGCTTCACAATCTGAACTTCATATTTGTATCTTGTCGTTCACATATGCATATAGAAGCAGTCCTTACCAATCCTATGCTAAACTGATCATAAGGGAGAGAGAAAGAAAAAAAAAAAAGAAAAAAATGGGGGGGAGGAGGGGGGGAGAGAGAAAAAAGGTGAATATCCATGAAGTTCCAAGACATAAAACTGATCAAGGCTGAATGCTATGCCAAAGATGCCAAAAAAGCAAAGGAAGTTCTTTAAATCTTCTGCAGGCACAAATATAGCAGAACAAGGCAGGAAGATCTCACAACCTTGTTGCAAAGGAAAAAAAAAAGAAGAGAAAAGTAGGACAGGAAAAAGGAACATTGTGGTCTAGAAGAGTTTTTCAGTATTAGAATCTCTTCTGAAAACATTAAGCAAAATTGAATGATTCACTCTCATAAGAACTGCGAGTAGGAGGACGAGTGGAAAGATAGAAGGAAAGTGGCTCTCTGTATTCGTATGGAACGACTTCTATATTATTCTCGTCAACACTATATCTTGGTCTTATTGCTGACCACTGAGAACAACAGGGTAATCAATGTAAGAAGCAAGATGCAAAGAACAGGATTTTAAACTTGAGGTAGGACTGTAAGAGGTAATATTAATTTTAAACCACAGATGATCTGAATGATTTGCCAGAAATAATTACTATTTTTTTTTTTAAGTTTTCATGTCAATCACCTATCAGGAACATCTAAGCCACCTGACTCCAACAGTAGAGTTCAATCAAGAAACTCAACGCTCTCACCCCAATTTTGTCTTCATGTAACAGATATTAAGGAATTTTTCTTTTTATTTTTTTTTCCCTGCAGAACTGTTTCAGGAAGGACTGAAGCATATATTCAAGTGCCACTGACCTGCCCAAGATGTGAACGTATGACATTTCATTAACACTAATACATGATGGAACAAGGACATCTGAGCAACATGCAAAACTGGTTCTGAAGCTGAAAACTGTAATGGCAATTTAAATCAGTGCCACATGTGAGACAGGGCTTATCAAACCAGGTATAGCACCAAAATAATGTTGTAATACCGCTTTTGGAAGCAGCCTAGTATCTGTTTCTTACTATATGTTCCACTGCAAAAAGAGTAGTCAAATATATGAATTTAGCAAGACTTGAATGCATGGTTAAAGTTAAGCATCCACTTGGTCTAGCAGGTAAACTAGTTCCATGAAGGATCTTCAAAGCTTACTTAGAAATGTCAAAGCACACACCAGGAGACTAAAATTTCATCAGTAAATATGACCAAGCAACTAATACCTCTGCAGCAGTCTAACAGTCTAAGCCTCTGTTATTTTCTACCTCTTTAATCAGTGTCTATAACAGTACGGCAAATATATCAGAACATCAAAGATCATTATGATGTGGACTGCAAGGTACAAAATGGCCTGGAGGAAAAAGACTAGGCTTTTTGAAGCCTACTTTTGGTACTACAGAGAAAACTAGAGATAAAAAGACATAATGAGAACCATTACTTTGTGTGTCATTATAATTTTATATTAAACACAAGATAATCATCACCACAGAATAACTCTCAGTCTAACTGAAAAAGATGTGACAGCTACCACCCATTTCTAACTTTTTTGTTTGTTTTTACATTTTGGGAGGCTTCTTTCACCATAAAAGAACACTCAGATAATGTGAGCTGTTTTATATCAGTTGGGCTGCTCATTAAGTTGAAGGCAGCACAGAGAAACACTTGCGCCTTGCCCTCCATAGTGTCAAAACATGTATATAGCCACTTCAGGATCCATAAACTACATTAATCAATCTTGCCTATTTTTCCCTCAAGTGCTGACAAACCGTAGCGAGGCAAGCTTCAGATCACTTTAAAGATATTTGAAATACTAGTCATAACCAAAACAGCAGAAGAACAAGCCCAGTAACAGACGCAGCTAAGGCATCCCAAGCCCTCATGACGACTCCACCAGCCAAAGGCCGGCAGCTGCCTGCCGCACAGCGAGCCGGACAGGAAAGCCGGCACGTGGATGGTGGCTCTGAGGTGGCATTGCCATCTTCTACTCACTTGACTCTCCTGTGGTGAATTTTGGAGGTTTTTGAGAGGTGAGCCTTGCATCACACTCTTGAGTCAGTGATTGACAAGAACAGCCTGGAGAAATGTAAATTGCAGAAAGGCTATGGCTGCTGCGGGGGGGTAGAGGCTTTCTCTCCTGAGGCAGAATGCTATTTCTCTGCCCACAAGGTGCCTGTGACGGGGCCAGAAGAAAGTGCTGGCAAGGCGCTGATCGCCCATTTCTTCACTGAAGGCTGAAGATGGAGAAATTGCTGAACAACTTTGCCTGCAAGTCTCACAGCAGCAGAGGACATTACATTCTTATGCGTACTACAACACCAAGGACCTGATTATAAACCACCACCATCTGAGACAACTCCATTTCTGAAGCAGTTGAGCTGCATTAATACACAAATGCACCTGTGCTAATAGCTTGCCTCTCAAATGACCTTATTAGCACAGCACATCAGCTCAATGTTGTCACACAGCATCCAGCTGCAGAGTGGCTTTCATGCTGCTAGGCCAGAATACAGATGGATCTGGAACAAAACAGATCGGCTCCTTCCTTTAGCAAAAGCGGTCTTCGTGGATTTCTACTTTATTGGTTCCCACACGGGGAGTTTTTGAAGGGATCCCTTTTTGCTTTTTAGCCTAGGACAGAAGCTCTTGTTCAGAAGCTCTTTGCAGGAGGAGAGAGGAAAAGCAGAACCATCAGGGAAAATGATCCTGCTGCTCAAAAATGATCAGAAGAAAGAAAATACTCGAGGAAAAACGGCTGCGAGTCGAGGAAAACAGAAACGAGGAGTGGCAGCCACTTCTTAGCAGCCTAAAAGGAAGGCAAACACTTCTCCACTCTACCGTTTGACTGAGCAGTCCATTGTCTCACTGTCTGAATAGCCTATTTATCAGTAGCATTCATAAAACTAAAAAAAAGAGGCAAACAAAAATAAATTGTTTTTCCTACGTCAACCTCATTTAATTACTGAAGAGTAGTTTGAATCGTTCATCTCCTAATGCTTTGGCGGGATTGGCAGCCAGTCTAGTCCAGTCAGGCTTGCCTGATTGTATGAGAAATAGAAAATAAAATCAGCATAGTCAAAGCGAGGGATAATCTAGGAAGTATTCACAATAATGAATAGAGTTGGGTGACAGGTCGCTTTAGCTGGAAGTTTCTGATACCCAGCCTTGTTACAATGTGTGTGGGCTAGTAAATATTCAGCAGAAGTTTAACAGGATATTTTAAGGAGATTTACAGTCAGCTCAGTCATGTCTATATCACCACACTGACATGCTGTCTTTGCTTTTGCATATCTTACAAGAAACTTAATGTCAGCTTATATGGCAAGAAACCAGACAATCATATATACACATCTGTGCATACTGAGATGTGTATGATGGAAATAGCTCGCCTTGTCTCCTGGGAGCATAATACCCAGTAGTCTAATTTCCAGACAACACTGCAGTCAATCCTACTATTGAATAAAACCAGAATTTATTTTTTTTTAATCACAAAAACTGGCTCAAGCAGACAATTATTAATACAGTCTAGGATATCTGGGGATCTCCACCAAGGACAAATACGAAACACACTAATCAAGTGCACACACACTCTTTTCTTTCCAAGGAATACCAACGTTTTAAGCAAGCTCTATATCGTCACTAAACTGGTAAGTCTCACAGCATTATAGAATCACTCTGGTGCGCTGTCTCGCTGTTTGGTTACTTCATTTCTTGGCCTCCTGCTCTAGTTTTGAAAAAAGTAAAAGAAATAGGATGTGCTTGTTCGCAGTTAACAAAAAGTCACTTAATATAGCAAGAAGTTTAATAATTTTACCTGGGGCGACAAAGCATATGAAGAAGAATTACAAAGTCAGACAGATGATTGACAAGCTACTATAATGCTGCTTTGCAAGGCATCACATCTGCCAAATCAAACTTTTTCACTCCCTATCAGCTCACAGTAACACCTGCATTTGCCTCTTACTATCACAGCTTTTAGACTAGGCATGATAACTGTCTAACCAAGAAGCACACTTCCGTCAGCAGATGACTTTGCATCATATAATGGGCTTTTGAGCAGAGAACTGGGGAAACTCAAGTGCAATATGTTTAAGTGCTGTCAAATTTCTCTTTCACAGAAAGGCAAAGCAATCAAGTGATCCCTTCTCACTTTTGATGAATTGTGAATAACGAAGGCTCAGTCAATGCCTACACTGCACTCACAGGTGGTATTTTGACCGTTCTCATATAAACTTGCTCGTGTGCCAAGAGCAGTGCAGCCAGGCAGTATGGAGTTCAGGATCCCAGCTGGATCTGCCGTATATGCTGAAACCACAGAGCCACAGCTAAACACTGTTACTGATCCCTAAACTAGCTGCTTTACTGCCGTTTGGATGTGTTTACACTAGCTGTAGTCACATTTCATTACGGCGTAGATACAACCTTTGAGAGAAGTAGCTGGGCAATGTTACGAATAGCTGACATTTATACATTAACATGAAGGCATAAGTATTTGACAATAACTCTTTACAGTACTTGCATGCAGGAGGAACTACAGTCATTTCCTAGGCTGAATAATATGACCTTATTTCCTCATTTTTATTATGTAGTATTGATGTTACTTGCATCAGATGAAATAAAAAACCAGCACCTCCCTGATCCTGTCCTTTACTATTTCTTATATTTTCAACTCACAGAGAACAGAACATTCCGTGAACATATGAAAAACCTTCATTAACATGACAGATACCAGACTCCAAATGGAAAATTACCAGGGTGGGGTCCGTAATTCTAATAATGCATCTTTAATTCTAAAATACAGAACTAAGATCAATGAAAAAGAAAGTATCCTCTTACCTTAGGGTCTCATTTTCTCCACTTTTATGCCAAACCTGTAACACCTAATCAAAACACATTCCTGC